TTCACCAGCGTCCTGGTGGTCTCCAGCCTGTCCCCTCTCTGCGTGCTGCTCTGGAGGGAACTCACTGGCATCCAGGTGCGAAGGCGGCGGGGCGCGGGCAACCAGGGAAAGGATCCCAGGTTTTGTTGTGGGAGGGAACATCACTGATGCCCCCTTTCCTGTGGCTCAGCCAGGCACATCACTGCTCACCCTGATGGGCTTCAGGCTGGAGGGCATTTTCCCAGCAGCTCTGCTGCCCCTGCTGCTAACTATGGTGAGTCCTGCTTCCTTTTTCCTACTCTGTTGTCACTAGTGTAATGAAATGCCCCGTGTCCAGCCTGCCTTTGGCAGATGACAGACAGAAACTATGATGTGGCCCTTGAGCCCCCAGGTGTGTATTGCTGGGAAACCCTAGAACTCGGGAAGCCTGAGGTCTCATGACACTGACCAAGGGCACTGGATTGTGGTGGGGCTTTCATTTGATCTGGTTTTTTTTTTTTTTGCCCCCAGATCCTATTCCTGGGTCCACTGATGCAGCTCTCTATGGATTGCCCGTGTGACCTGACAGATGGGCTGAAGGTTGTCCTGGGTGAGTCTTCAAGACTGAGGAAAAGGTAGGCACAGGCAGTCCAGGACACTGGGGAGAGGAGTCAGTGAGATGTGATCTGGACTGAAGAGGTGAGATGTCACCTCTCTGGGTGTGTTTCTTCATCAGTAAAAGGCATCATACTGCTGGGTACCTTGTAAATTCCTGGTACTCGAGGAGGCCTTTCAGGACCCAAAACAGTACTTGATATGGGTCAGACAGCATCTTCCCTTGTTCTTCCATCCTTTGGCTTCCCCAAATACTGGCCTTGATTGAATTTTGGTATCAGAATTTACTATGACTCCCTCGTATACTGTTGCCTTACCTTACTGTTGTCAATTATATCTCAAGATATTGAAATTAGGTCTTATAAAGTTTGTTCCCTTCCCCATTCTGATTCTCAGGATTCCTGACCTGAGTTTGGCCAGAATAAATCTGTGGGAGAGGGCCCCTGAGAGGAGTGAGTATTTTTAGTAACTTGGCACTCATTACTTATCCTGAATATTTACCCTAGCCCCTCGTTCTTGGGCCCGCTGCCTCACAGACATGCGCTGGCTACGAAACCAAGTTATTGCACCCTTGACAGAGGAGCTGGTGTTCCGGGCTTGTATGCTGCCCATGTTAGCACCATGCACAGGTCTGGGCCCTGCTGTGTTCACCTGCCCACTCTTTTTTGGAGTTGGTGAGTCTAACTGGTCCAGCAAAGATGTTCCCAGCATGAGGGCTGAAAATGAGGGCTTGGGGTGAGGGGAGAGCTGGACGTCAGGCCAGAGAGACACGATGTTGTTTGTACCTCTTCCTTCCAGCCCACTTTCATCACATTATTGAGCAGCTACGTTTCCGCCAAAGCAGCGTGGGAAATATCTTCTTGTCTGCAGGTGAGCCTGGGGAGCTTGCCTGGGACAGGTGAGGGTTGGGGTGTTATGATATCCCTGACAGCCACTGTACAGAAAGGACTGGAAATACAGGGCTATAAATATTGCATGGGGACCACTGATCTTGGGAGGTAGGGTACAGAGAACAGCCACAGATGGTGGGCAGGCAGCCACTGCCAAGAGGAAAGGGTGGTCTCTGGTGTGCAGTACTGGGGCAGGGTGAGCATGCTGGTGTGGTCACTCGAAGCCTCCGTCTCCAGCGTTCCAGTTCTCCTACACCGCTGTCTTTGGTGCTTACACGGCTTTCCTCTTCATCCGCACAGGTTGGTCCTCAGTTTTTCATGCATTCCCAGGGCCCCATGGATGTGGGCGGGAGAAGGGGAATACTATGCCTGTGACAAAGTTTCTTCTACCACAGTCCTTGAGGCAGACTTAAGCCAGGGCCCTCAGCTTTTTAAGGTCTAAAAGGTGGAAGCAGAGGTCCTGACATGGGGGCACATGAATGGGTGGGGAGGGTCATTGAGCCCTGTTCAGGGGACAAGGGCCACTAACTCTAGAAGGGCCACCAGTAGTGGGGCTGCTTCATACTTTGCCCGTCTCCCCTCTCCAGGACACCTGATAGGGCCAGTTCTCTGCCACTCCTTCTGCAACTACATGGGCTTCCCTGCCGTGTGCGCAGCCCTGGAGCATCCACAGAGGTGGCCACTGCTGGCAGGCTATGCTCTTGGTGTGGGACTCTTCCTGCTTTTGCTTCAACCCCTGACGGACCCCAAGCTCTATGGCAGCCTTCCCCTTTGCGTGCTTTTGGAACGAACAGGAGCCTCAGAGACCCTACTGTGCTCCTGACCATCACTCTTGTGTATACCCCAGTGAACTCTGATGGGCTCTGCAGCCCCTCCTTATCATGGAATACTGCAAGGGAGGGGCTGGCTGGGGTCCCCGAGATCTCAGGAATTTTTGTAGGGGATTGAAGCCAGAGCTAGTTGAACCCCAGGGACCAAGAGGAAGGAGCAGATATCCAAAGGGTGCAGCCTCTCAAAGAACGGTTGAGGAGCAGCTGGACGTGAGGGGACAAGGACAAAATCCTAGGAGCTGTGCACTCCCTCTTTGGACTACTGCTTCTTAGCTCTTTTGCCCCACCCCCCAAAAAAAGCTGCTCGGTGGGTTTTATAAAACCCCTCCTCCCAGGGTTTTCTCATTGTCTTTTTGCATCAAGACTTTGTATTGGGATATTAAAGAGATTTAACTTGGGTAATACGGTCCTTTGAACCTTTGAGAATTCGTGTACTTGGATCTTGGTGAGAACCCAAGCCAACACTTGGGAGTATGTACACTCCCTCTCTTGGCTACCTTGAACCTGCTAATGTGGGCAGCAGGTGAGTCTGGCAAGCAGGTCCCAACAGCAGAGGATGGGGGGGACCTTTAGCTGCCAAGGCTGTGGTTTACTCTTTCCTGAGCTCCTGTGGCTGAGTTACAAGTACCAGGTGGAAACCCATCGCATCTCATCTTGGGGCGGGTACCTTTGATACTGAGGTCACAGAGTAGCTCTGACCCGTGTCCTGTGAGCTGGGAAAGTGGCTCCAGAGCCTTATTCTACAAAAGGATGTGGGTCTAGAGCACAAGAGGACCCTTCTCCGTCCCACAGATGGAGAGGCTTCTGGTTCTACCTGGACTGCTGCCCCTCTGCCTCATCCAGGACAAAGGTCACAGCCCTGCTCATGGCAAGGACTCTGCCACGCAACACAGCAGCTCAAGGTTCTTTGGGACCTGCTCACCATCCTCTGCATTGTTCTTGTTTTCTCGGCTAGCCCTTTTTCTGTCTTTTTTTAATTTGTGAATATCCTTTTAAGTCTCCCTTGTTCAAGGTTGTTCTGAAACCTGTCCCCTGAAGCTGTAGTCATTCCCTGAGGTTGTCTGTGACATAGCCACACTCACACACCTGCCTTCCTGCTGAGTTCTTCTCCAGCCTGTGTAGAAGCTGGCGGTGTGGAGGTAAGGGGGTAGATAGTACATTCACAACTTGGGGTCCAGAGAGGATGCAGCTTAGGCCCACTGAGTTGTCCTCCCCCAAAGTCAGGTGCCAGACAGGCTACAGGGATCTGCTTTCCTAACATCCAGGAAGTTTTTTAAAGTAAAACAATTGACCTAGATCTCGTGGGAATTTGAGAGAACCCCACCCACACTGCCTCAGACTGGGGACAGCACTAGGGATAGGGTAGACTACATGACCCAGTGTGGAGGGCAAGGGAAGGCCACTTTTATTGAGCAAATTTCCCAGGACCTGCAAATTAGGTCTTCCCCCTACCCCCAGAGGTAGAACCCCTAAACCATCTCCCCCAGGTCCCAAGGCCACCTGCTGGACACCTGTAGTCTCCAACAAGGAGCAGATGGTTATTTGGCAAGAGATGAGTATGTGAGCAACTGCCTGCCAGTAAGGCAAGGACAAATGGCTGACAGGAATGGGCCACTGCAAGTTGTGTGTGTCGTGTGTGTGTGTTGTCCCATGGAACAGGGCCTCAGGGGTCTGGCCATCCTCTCTCAGGTACTGGCTGGCCTGGGCCTGCCCTGGCTGCACAGCTTCTGTTGGGAGGCTTGGGGTAGGGTTGGCCAGGCTGCCAGTCTGAAGCAAGATCACTCGATCTCTAGGATAAGGTCATCGCCTTCCAGTGTCATGTCCTTGGTCACGTGAACCTTGCGGATGGTGCCCTCCATGGGTGAGGTCACCACAGTCTCCATCTTCATGGCACTGAGAACACAGAGGGGCTGGCCCTTAACCACCTTGTCTCCTGCCGCCACCTTGATGTCTATGACCTTCCCAGGCATAGGGGCCCCAATCTGGCCCTTCACATCCTTCAGAGCCTTGGGATGGAAGTGCATCTCCTGCAGACAAGACAGAGATGACATGAGACAGCAGGTCAGGCCCATCCCTACCACGTGGCTGGCCCTGAGGGCACTGTACCTTCATTGCCTGGGTGTCTTTAACCAGAATGGACCGAAGCTGCCCATTGAGTTCAAAGAAAACCTGCCTCTGGCCAGCCCGATTCAGGTCACTCACTGCCAGGGCTTTGATGTGCAGAGTCTTGCCCCGTTCCAGTTCCACCTGCAGAAAAGGTGAGAGACCAGATGTGGGGAGAAAGTTAGGAGAGCAGGCCCTGGGCCCTGACTCAGGGAAGTTATACAACCTGGATCTTCTTAGTTAATGTGGAGAGGCCTAGCCTCTGGTCATACAACAAGGACACTTTCTGCTCTAGGTTCACAACAAGGCTGTCAGCAGGGTTGCTGTAGTCCTTGGGGCTGAGTGTGGACAAACACAAGAACCACTGACCTCAAACTCCTCTGCAATTTTGGGTCCTTGAAGAAAGAGGCGGGTATTGAGGCTGTCCAGTGGGCCGAAGGTGGCTGTGAAGTCTTTGAATTGGGAGAAGACATCAGGGTACATGGCTGCAGAGAGGACATCCTCTGGGGTCACCTCCTCCCCATGCCGCTCAATCAGGTCCTTCTCCAGCTCCTGCAGGTTCAGGGGAGGAAGGGAGGCTCCAGGCCTCCCCTCTACTCTTGGCAGGTCCTTTAGCACCTGAGGAGCAAAGCAGAGGTCATGCCAGGTTCTTGTACGCAGTCCCTGTCTCATATCATAAGGCACCTTCCCTACCTTAGAGCGGAAGGGCTCAGGGAAGCCTCCATGGGGAATTCCAATGTAGCCCTGCAGGAATTCCACCACAGAGCGAGGGAAGGACAGCTCTTCTGCCTGAGCTTCAGCCTCTGCTCGGCTTAACCCATTCTGCACCATGAACTGGGCCAGGTCCCCCACAATCTTGGAGGATGGTGTCACCTGAAGAGAAAAGGTCTCTGGTATAAGAGTGCTAGGCACAGACAGGAGTGTAGTGTGCAGGGCCGTTAGAGAAGGGCCTTGCTCACCTTGATGAGGTCCCCCAGCATCTGGTTAGCCTCCACATAGGCCTTCTTGACCTCCTTGAACTTGGAGCCAAGCCCCATGCTGTGGGCCTGGAAGTGTAGGTTGGTGTACTGGCCCCCTGGGATCTCATTCTCATACACATCTGAGTTGCCAGACTTCATGGTAGCCGTGCAGTCAAAGGCCGCATACAGGCCCCGAGCCCCTTCCCAGTATTCACTGTAGTCAAACACACGCTCCAGGGGCACCTCTGCAGGGAAGCTAGAGTCAGGAGAGCTTGGCAGGGGCGTCTTCCAGGACTCAGGGCTAGGCCAGATCCCATCTCAAACTTGGGTGGGAGCAGAGTGAGGCATCTGAATTCTATGTGTCCCAGACTCCACTGGGATTATTTCCAACCACAGCTTTGAGAGGGGCATGGGCATGGGCTACTCCATCCTACCTGTGTTCAGAGGAGTCCCTTTGGTACAAGCCACCAGGGCACCCATGCTGGGCTGTGAAGTCATCCCAGACATGGAGTCTACTGCCACATCCACAACATCAGCCCCAGCTTGTGCACAGGCCAGCATGGCTGCCACACCTGCCCCTGATGTGTCATGGGTATGGATGTGCAGCGGTAGGTCAGGAAATCTGTTGCGGAGGGAGCTGACCAGCATGGTGCAGGCTGCAGGCTTCAGTAGCCCGGCCATGTCCTAAAAAGTGAAGGAAATAGAGTGAGGAGGAGCATGGTGTGTTTCCGTGTTGCAAGTCGTGGTGGGTATGGTGGGAGGAAGAGATGGAAAAGAAGCCCTGGCACCTTAATGCATAGGATGTGGGTGCCAGCTCGCACCAGTTCTTCAGCCAAGCCCATGTAGTACTCCAGCGAGTATTTTGTGCGACTGGGGTCAGCTACATCACCAGTATACGAGATGGCAGCTTCCACCACGCCCCCAGCATTGCCTGCTGCTTCCATGCCCAGCAGCATGTTTGGCAAGTAGTTGAGGGAGTCAAAGATTCGGAAGACGTCCATACCATTCTCCTTGGCCACCTCACAGAACCTGGCAGGTGAGAAAGCAGGTGAATCCTACCTGCACTTCTGTCTCCAGCTCCTAACTCCTGGGGAATGAAGTCTGGCCTGGCAAGGGAGTAGGGGCTTCAAAGTGTAAATAAGGCCTTTTCCAGGTCAGCCTGGGCCAGGAGCGTGACAGTCACTGCCCAGCCTGACTGAGCCTGGAGATTAGTAAAGATGCTTGGCACAGGGGTGGTGGCTGAGGGGGAGAACACTGAGCAAAGCCATAAGGCCTGGGTGATTCCTGGGACAAATCCCCTCCCTCAGTGTTTGCTGCCACGGAGACCCAGAAGCTCTGCCTCTGCAGTTTTGTGTTTAGTCCCCGTACAGCATCATCAAAGACACTAGGAGCCCACTACAGTGTGGCCCCAGCCAACCCAGGCTCACTTGAAGACCACATTGTCAGGATAATTGGTGTAGCCCACGGCATTGGCCCCCCGAAGCAGCATCTGGAACGGAATGTTGGGGATGAGCTCCCGGAGCTCCTGCAGCCGCCTCCAGGGACACTCATATAAGAAGCGCATGGCAACATCAAATGTGGCCCCTGCACAGGAAGAGAGGGGCTGGTCACCCCATGTCACAAGGACCCTACAATGCTCTACATGGCCTGCTGACTTCCAGGGTTCCTCATGTTGAGCCCCCACCAGCCTCTCCCTCCACTGATGCTCAGGAAACTCAGGGTCTTCTCTGTACCTCCTCCCTGCCCTCAAGCTACTCAGGACAGGGCCTACATCCCAGCCATGCAGCCTCTGTTCCAACAGAAGCTGGCTGTAGTTGGTTTTTGTGGAACAAACACCCTTGCCCTCACTGTCCCACTGTCAGCATCTCTCTGTCCCTAGTGTCCTGGGCCTTCTGGGTTGGGCACTCAATCCCTGCTAGCACTGTCTAACACCCCAGCCCTCCTCTAGCTACCTCCCCAGTTCTCCATGCTGAAGAGCTTGTTGAAGTTGTGGGCAACATAGGGCGCAATCTTTTTGAGATCATGTGTGCGCACTCGAGTGGCCAGTAGTGACTGGTGGGCATCCCGGAAGGTTGTGTCCATCAGCAGCAGTCCCTGGTGATTTCGCACAGCTCGGGCAAAGCCCTCTGGCCCCTCTCGCAGAAGAATGTCTCTAAAGCCAGGTGGGGGTGGGCCTAGGGCAGAGGAAAACATCAATGCTATCCTGTAGGCAGCAATCTCCCGTTACCACCTTGAGTTGGTAAAATTGGATCTCGCCTACCTATAGGTACTGCAGGAACAACGGGGTCCACAGGGCTGGGACTGGCCTTGACAGGGATTGGAGTGGTAGGGCCATTTACCATGACATGTCCTAGGGAGGAAGTGGACAATATGTTAAGGCAAGCTGGGCTTAATAAGTAAGTCAAGGGCAGCTGTGTGAGCAGGTGAGCTCTGGGACAGAGACTCTCCCCAGGACACCCAGGCCTCTTGGGTCCAGGCAGTGAAAACATATCATGGGCCATGTAGACAGAAAGGAGAGTACAGGACCTTAAGGGCAGAGCTATGGGGTGGGAGACAAGAAACAGGAGGGAAGGGTGGGCAGACCGAGGTAATGTAGCAGCTTCTGGGCCCGGTTCTGTGCAGGCCGCAGCTGGAACAGCTCAGGATTCTCATCGATGAACTGGGTATCCACAGTGCCTGCTAGGAACTGCTGGTTGTTGAGCACGTTCTGCAGGAAGGGGATGTTGGTCTGCAAGACAGAGGTAGAGGGGTCACTATGCAACTCAAGGGAGGGAAGAGAGACCACAAGTGCTACACTGGAGCACTGAGGCTTCTCCCATCTCACCATCATTCTGGAAATCCCTGAAGCTGTCAAGGGCTGGATACACACCCTCCATCTTTGCTCGCCCCAGAACATATGCCAATGCCACCCCCTCTTGCTTGGGTCTACAAACTTAAGATCCAATCCCCCACCCCAGCTTAGAACCTTGCTCTGCCTCTCCTGTATCAGCACATAAACCCCTCCAGCCCCCACCAGCCACGCTTCTCGATCCCACTATCGTGAGATCACCGCTTCCTAATTCCAACAGCATCCTCTCACTGTCTTACTAACAGCTCCCACCTTGACGTCCCTCCCGGACTTCCTCCCCTATTCTTCCACTTCTCACACGCACCGTCCTCAGGATACCCTGATCTGGACCTGCTGCTTTCCACCTGGGAGTCAGCATCTCCACATCCCTCATGGAGCCCCGCAACCTGTGCTCCCCAGCTATCTGGTAGAAGGATGTCTGTCTGCCTTCTACCCTGGCTCCCCACCTTCCTGAGTGACCGACTGGGCATGGTGGACCGTTGTCCCATGACAAATCCTGGACTCTTAATCTCTTCTGCTCAGCGCACATCTTTCCCAGGAGCTGTCTCAACACTGCCCCCTTTGCCCAGCAGTTTAGACAAGTGGGGTGCCTTGCCCATCAGCTTCTGACAGAGAGCCATCAACCATTACAAAGCAGGGCCTGTTACCAGTGCCTTGCATCTGCTTGTCTCCTGGAAACTTGCCCTTGCACTAAAAAAATAGGGATCAAAGCATCTGAAGACCCCAGGGCTGCAGTGAGTGAGATGGATCCTCAGAGCCTCCGACCACCATACAGATTCCTTCCATTTGCTACTACCAGATCGACCACCATTGCCTCTGCTGGAAGTGCCATAGTGGTAGGAGCAGGGCCAGAAGCCACCTGGCTCCCAGCACAGGGTAACACATGGCAGATGCTAGAACACGTGTGTGTTTTGAGTGAAGGAAACTCTTCAGGGGAAGCAAAAGTGTCTGGCACCAGTTCACATCCCAGCTGACCAGACTAAAGATCCAAATTGTTCTGTAAAAATTGAGGTCTCCCAGCAACAGCAACAATCCAGACAGTGGCTTCCAGCTGCAAGAACTTAAAAGCCCCTCACTCAAGCTGCACGGTTTCCTACTCCCTTAGGTGTGAATAGTACAGGCAATTAACAGCACAAGGTCCCCACCAGAAAACTGTTCTGTAGTTAAGTAACTTGCTCAAGGCTGAGCAGCTGTACCAGGCCGGACTAGAATCCAGCCTCTGTCTCCCTGAATTCCTGCTACCCACCCGCTCCTGAGAATCAGGTATGGAGGGAGAGGAGTAGACAGAAGGGGTCTAGGTACTGGCCTAGAGGCAAAGAGATGCCCCGTAGGAAATGACAACTTCTCACGCCAACTAGGTGAACCACTCCTAATGGTGGAGGCAAACAAGAACCGTGATATCCAACCTGGTTCTGAAACATCAGCACTCTTCTCCAAGCCCAGGCTCTGAGGTCACCTCAGATCTTGACCGTTCAGGCCATACTCCCTAAAAGGACCCGCGGGAGCGTGTGGCGGTGGGGGCGAGGTGGGGGGCGGAGCAGCGACACGGAGAGGACCACTGACGCAC